TTGGAATATGATGACATGTGTCAACCAAGTCAGCGAGCCTGACCACCCGATCCCGTTAGTCGCCTCTTATGACAGGCATGGGTTACGGAAGACCAATTCTAACCTGGATCTTTATGGGTATCATGTACAAATAGTTTGATATTTTTTTAAACTCACTTATGTTGAAAAAAGCAACAGGTGCTTCCAAACTGTATTTGCATAATACCGATTTTCTCTGCAACCATCATCAAAGAATGTGTGTAAACCCCTGTACAGCATTTGAGAAACCCCGAGATATCAGCAAAAAATCTTCCTGTTGTCCTAAGATTTGTTTTTTTATAGCAGTCCCTCTTTTGTGTTGGATTTTAATTTGTCTTCTATGAATACAGCTTACTGATCCTGCCATTGCCGACTATCGGTATTAACTGAATTGAAATCATAACACTGTTGGGAACTGGAATTTGAAATATTACATTTCTCCATATCAACTATTCATGAATTTTTAAGCATATAATTTCTTTGTCAATTACATAGCCTGTCAGCCCCAAGTGGGCGCCAAGAAAGATAAACAGAGAATCATCAAGAAAAACGGCAGAATGATTTGGGTGGCATTAGAAGGAACCCAGTATCTCTTTCTCATCTTCCGATATCTAGTTATCAGCTGTATCATGTGTGTGAACGCCGCCACTGATGCTCTTTGTGTAAATGGCCTTCCGAGGATTGGAAAGATACGTGCAAAAAACTCTTACAACTTTACATATCATGAATTCAACATGCTGCAAGCACCATGGCCATTTTGTGCTCACACGAGTCTTGCATGCCATGTAATTTGCCCATGGTTCAATTGTTTGCAGATGGTACAAATTATTATGATGCATATTATCATAAACAAAAACCTATTTTATTATCAGTTTTTATCATTACCGGGAATACTAGATTTGTCCATGACTAGAGCTGGACAATATGGTGAAAATATTCAATTTCCAGTCCACAATGTCCCTCTGACATGTGGCCTCTACTTTTTGCAGTAGTCAGTGTCTTTGGGTGTAAAGTTCTATTAATATACATGTAAGTTTTGAAGAAGTCTCATGGTTAATTACCTCCCCGTAGGATACTCTATGATGCCTCTTAAAACAGCAATTTAAACATCATTTGTGATCAACATTAGCTCCATTTTTGCACAATGCACACTCTGTAGCTCAATACAACATAGCTATAGTTGTTCCCCGCTAGCATCTCAGATGCGTTGCTGAGTGTGGTGTTCAAAGTTTGTCACAAGGAGAAGTTGATGAGCAACCAAATGTGTGGAAGCTAGAAGTGTTGTGCATTTATATGTTTACATTTGTATAACTAATTTCGTCACTAAGATAGTTCAAGTCTCTGTCTGTCTGTCTGTCTGTCTGTCTGTCTGTCTGTCTGTCCCATCCATCTGTCTGTCTGTTGCTATGTAGAGTTGCTATGCAATCTGTTTACAGGATCCGGTGCATGATCTTGGTTTGAATCCAAGATTTGTCACGGATACGAGTCATTGTCAGCAACATCTGTCTCCATCTTAGACTAATGCTTAGTCTCTGAATATATATAAATTTGATTGTAACAAATAAACCCATTTAAATTGAGAAGGAGCCCCAGAGAGACCAGAGATTCAGAACCTGAAGCTGAGGAAATCTAGACTTGCTTTATTTAGAGCTCTCTCTCTCAGAAAACTGCAGTAAACTTTTACAGCATAAATAAAACCACAGCACAATACCAAAATGCTTCAAATCCTTAGCTGGAAACAAGTATAACTTGCTTTAAACAATAAATAACATACTGCTATACTGGTCAGAATCTATAGTCATTCAAAAGAAGATCCTTGTTGGAGATTACATTAGGTGTCTTCAAATGCATTGTGGTTGTTAAATCTTTTTTTTATATGTGCCAATTATTGTGGTGGTAGTTTAAGATATTTCCATTGCGTTCTTGGATCAGTAAAGTGTTATATATGAGCCTGAAGCCTCTCTCTCTGTCAGACTATGTGGACACTAGAGGATTTATTGCCACATCGCCCCTCATTCTCAACCTAGAGTGTGTCTTGAGTAAATTCATAATTTACCACTTTCTCTTTTGCCTTATCATCACTTGTCATACCGTTGTAATCCAATGCCAGATTAATTTACTTTGTCAAAAATGTTTGGATATTTTCAGATTCAGTTGAAGGGATGTTGCATACCTATGAATAAATCATTCGGATACATGCTTGTCAAAATTAGGTTTACTTATGTCTGATCAATAAATTGTGTTCCAGTTTGTTATATACGAAATGAAACATTGTCAAAACAACTGCAATTTGTGTTCATAGTTGATAAGGCTGTTTGCAATTGAGTGTGTCACCATTTTCAAGGAAAACATTGTCAAATAATGAGAGATGTTAATCTTAATAATGGGAGTTTTATTCCATTACAAATACTATAAATGAAATATTAAGTACATAGGTTCATGAAATATATATGGTTTACTACAAAGACTGTCAATGTCAAACTTTATTTCATGTTTTATCAAATTTATTGACCAATCTGAAATTGAAATAAGGCAGTAGGCATAACAGACATACAGCAGGTTAACTACAAATAAAACAATATTAAATTATTAACCTAAAAGTCAAGGATATTACTCTGAAAATGCCTATTTAAATTTTTGATTAATTTTCAGTAGATTGGGGAATAATAAACAAAAATATAAGCAAACTTTCAACTGATTTTGTTAAAATTACCATGTGCATGAATTAAGAGCAGTAATCAGTACAAATATAAAACCAGTTTAAACAGGTGTAAAATCAGCAAAAACTGAGTGACCAACCATCTCCTTCCATCAAAACCTCACCTGTATCTAGTTATGAATGGGTTCTATTCACTGGTTTGTATATTGGGAATGTTTTCACCCCGGAAAGGCATCCAAGCCCTAACAAACAACCTCAATGCCCAGTTTATCTCTGATATGAGAAGGATATCAACTTGACACTACCTTTTCTTTCTTTTCTGAGAAAACAGTCAGATTGATATATGTATATAACGTCAGCCAATCTGCCCTTGATCTGATGGCAACGCATCTGTCAGCCATTTTCCAACACCTGTGAGCTTTGGGTGAGACAAACACTCTTGTTGTGGATTAAGCATTGTGAAAAATGTGTTGCACATATTTGTATTTTATTGCTACATTTATGCTTTGGATTGATGCATATTTTTTGCTTATTTTCATTACCTTTCCATCCAATGTTGTTTAAGTACTTTGATTAGGGTGTTCCTTGTAAGACATCCTGTGTTTCATGTAAAGAACATGTGAAAAATTTCATCTAAGGAAGACCACAGGAAACAGAGCGACTTTTTTTCAAATTCTTTATTTTTTTAATCTACGTTCTGGATATGATATAAAACATAAAAAGCCATAAATGTTTTTCACATATTTTTTATCCTACAATTTCATGCAGATTATTTTTATTAGATGCATTGAAATGAAGGAAATTATTTTCCCAAATGTTCATACTTCTGGTAATCACACAAGAACAGTTACTCAAGTATGTAGTTGAGAAACAGATGGGGTGTGATGACATGCTTATGGAGTCATGGAATCGGGGGAGGTGGGGGGCAGTGTGTGGGTTGGGAAGATATGGGTTGGGGGATATAGGAGTTTTGGAGGAGGGTGGATACGGAATTTACGTGTGAGACCAAGGAGTGAAAAGCAAGGGAATGGCTTAATGTGTCTCTAAGTCCTTAACCACATTATTTTCCCTTTTGCTCAACCCTTTCTGCAATTTAAAAGGCCTTAATGAAGCAAGTTCTAGATTTTCTAAAGTCTAAATCTCCCATCACTGGGCTCCTTTTCAATTAAAATTAAAATATTAAAAATTGAATTATTCGTCTCTATCAATGTCATATATTCAAAGACTACGCATTTGTCAAGTGTGTTTGAGAGTTTGAGTTTAAACATAAATTGTTAGATTCTGTTCTCCTTTTCAATATGAATGTGTCTGTTGTGTCAGGCAACATCTGTTGTGTGAGGTGTCCTGGAAAAACCATTACCCTATTTCTGATTAATTACTAAAGCACATCCAAACAATTTCTTGTTAATCCTTGGTGTGAAATTCTTTCATTGCTTGGCATAGTCCTGCAAATGTTTAATTACCAGAATCATTCCAGCTCATCCTCATTGAGATGCAAATGAACATTTTTCAAAAGGCTGTATCTTAAATTAAAATATTGCCAGAGACGTTTTATGATGATTGCTATTATTACAATATTAACCTCAGACACATTAAGTTCATATCTGCTCTTTGAAAATGTTCTAAATATAAAAATTATTGGTACCAAAAGTCATGAATGTAGCGATGAGGGGCTGAAAAACATATTACTCCTGAACTCAATTACAATCTCCAAAATAGCCTTTCACAAAGTAGCATTAATTTATCCAAATATAATATATAGAATATCTAAAAAGTACTAAAAGCATTTCTAATGTGTATGTCAATTACGATGAAATGAAGCATTTAGCTCATCATCTCCTACAGCAAACACGCACGATCTGTTGAAGCACATTACAAGAAATGAACACATGAGAATTGATTATGCACAGATAAATGTATACGTCTGCTTGGCCCCGTCAATACAGAAATGAAGAAATTACATGACCTTGATGAATCAGATTATATCCAGGCAATATGTAAAATGTAAGTGTTTCCACCTTTCATTACCATATATAAAAACAGTAAACTGCTAAAATAATCTGATGTGGAAATGTTGTAAGAAGATGATGGTGATGATGATGATGTGAAAGTTATTGTACATGAGATCGATCAAATAATCTAATATGGAAATGTTGTAAGATGATGATGATGATGATGATGATGATGATGTTGAAAGATATAATATATTGTGCATGAGTTCAAATGATCCAATATGGAAATGTTGTAAGATGATGATGATGATGATGATGATGATGAAGTTATTGTGTATGAGATATAATTATAATCATAATAAGAATCTTACCTGATGGGCATGTGCTCCACAGCAGACCCAGGAGCGAAAACGTCACAGATAATCCCTGAATAGGCCACATTGGATCTGATGAGGAAATCCCACACATAGCTTTGTTCACATCACGGTACCGTCACTAGTTATCCGTTAAGTATCTTACATCAAGAGGATGGTACAACCAATTTGGTGGTCGCAGTCGACGCATATCGGTTCACTGTCCTCAGCCGTCGTCGTTCACAGACATTGTATCCAAAAGTTTGTCTCGATGATCGTGGATTTTCCCGCAGTGGAAGTAGTACGTGCTTCTGCCAAGTATCGCTCTTTCCGCGTGTACAATTCACTGCTCCCTTGACATCGCTAATTACAGCGCTTGACTCTGCAGTATCCCTCGGTCCAGCTCATCCATAGACTCACTCTTGTGTAGAATACCACAAGCTTGTTCCGTACAGAACCTGTACACAGAAACTGACTGTTAGATGAATGCTTCCAACTAAAAATACATCCTACTTTTTGCAAGAGAAAATTAGACGGTTAGGCTATTCAGCAATGTATATTGTTTAGATGGGCAGGTAGAAATGTTGTTTTGTGGTATAGAATGCGCTACAGTTCTCCAAGGGTTTTATCTTTACACAAACCACCTGCCTGGAACTGGACAAGGGAAAAGTTAATATGATTTCTCCTGGACATCCTCCAGAGAAGCTGCGATCACAGTGTGATAAGTGTTGGCAAAATATTTCACATGCAAGGCACAATAAGCTATGGTGATGAAATATGTGAAAATTGTTGCTCATTCAGTAACTATGGCAATAGGTATTGTGTTTATTTTCAGTGTGAAACAGACTGAGTGTTAGAACACATTTTCAGAATTTATCATGTTTCCGAGATGTTTTGTTTGTAGGGTATTTTCTACAATATCTTTGCTTCTTTTTGGCAATTAATCTTGTGTTCATTTTCCGTATAATAGTTTGGGAGGTAACACTTAGAAAAGGATATAGTTATTGTCCATAACTGCTATTTTGTGCAATTTATTTACTTATTTTAGCATAAAACAACAAAATAGTTTGGTCCATAATATTCAAGTCTTTTGATTGTGAATTATAGAAAGTGAAAACAAATTTGAAAAACTCATGACATGTGGTAATTATCAGTAAACAGATGACGCCCAAAGAACAATAACACCACTTAATTTAAATTGGAAAACAGACTTTGTGACTTCAAATCAAATTAAATAAAAATAACTAGTTGTAAAGCAATAATTAGGAGTTGGAATACCAGCAGATCAAGACAACATTAGCATACACAACAGCAAGTTTCAAAACATCCTTCAATTTAGGGGGCGGTGAGGTAGCCTAGTGGTTAAAGCGTTCGCTTGTCACACCGAAGACCCCGGTTCGATTCCTCACATGGGTACAATGTGTGAAGCCCATTTCTGGTGTTCCCTGCCGTGATATTGCTGGATTATTGCTAAAAAGTGGCATAAAACCATACTCACTCACTCACTCCACTTACTTCATTTTAGGGAATTTTGATTTCTGGCACCTTTAGCAAGATTACATACCAATATCATGGGGAATGAACCCAGACATTTGACAAGACAGTAGAATGCTGTAACCACTGGGCTACCCCACTGAGGTGAGGTGAGGTGAGGTGAGGTGAGGTGAGGTGAGGTGAGGTGAGGTGAGGTGAGGTGAGGTGAGGTGAGGGCTACCCCACTGAGGTGAGGTGAGGTGAGGTGAGGTGAGGTGGTGAGGGTGAGGTGAGGTGAGGTGAGGTGAGGTGAGGTGAGGTGAGGTGAGGTGAGGTGAGGTGAGGTGAGGTGCTATTTTACATATATATTCATTTAAGAGCAGAATACAAACTGATAGTATGAAATATAGTCATAGAATATATAACAGTATACAGTTGAAAACACTGTTCATATTGAGTTTGTTGAAACCGATTCAACAGTTTGTTGAATAGGGATATGGTCATTGTATCATTTGAATGTTTTGAAAGGATCATCAAGTTATAGGGAAATTTTGGTCATATGTTTTGCTTAACAAAACTACATGATGTTTTATGTCAAACATGTAAAAAGCAAAATATCATTATTTTTGCAACATTTGCCACCATAGAGATGCTAAAAATATGACTCTTTTCTCATGGGTATTCTAGATATAAGCAAGAACATAATGATGACAGCTATTTCTAGATCATAAGGACCTTATGATTGTCATAGAGCTGTTTGTGGTTTGCTATGTCACAGGGTGGTGGGGTAGCATTCGTTCATCATGCCGAAATCCTGGGTTCGATTCCCCACATGGGTACAGTGTGTGAAGCCCATTTATGGTGTCCCCTGCTGGAAAATTGCTAAAAGCGGTGTAAAACTAAACTCACTCATTCACTTGTTATGTCACAAATTTTAAAAATCATTTGTCATTGTTTGTAAAGTTTACTTTATGTTATTTATGACATAAACACAACGTGAGTGTTGATAATCTGCCAGATTCCACTCAGAATAAAAGTTAAATAAAGTGATGAAATTTATATGGATGGATAAGTGAATATCATCAATAACACCAGGTGTTCAGGGAAAGGGTAAGCACATCCTGCTCATACTAATGGTCAAATATGGTTCATATGTTACGGTAACCCGTGAAGGTCCGGGTTAGAATTGATCTTCAGTAACCCATGGTTGTTGTAAGGGGACTAACGGGATCGGGTGGTCACGCTCGCTGACTTGGTTGACAACATGTCATCGGTTCCCAATTGCGCAGATCGATGCTCTTGATCACTGGATTGTCTGGTCCAGACTCGATTATTTACAGACTGCCGCCATATAGCTGGAATATTGCTGAGTGCGAGGTAAAACTAAACTCACTCACTCTTATGTTACGGCACTGTCACAAAACCAATGGGTTCTAAGTTTGTTTATTGTTTTCTTGTTGATAGGATCACCTTGACAAAACTATTGATTACTGTTAATGTTTTAAAACTGTTATAAATATATAGGTCTATTTGGGGTCATTGATGGTCAGTATTCACCAGATGTCACAATATGTATCCCTTAGACTGACCTTGAAGTTTTTAATGAGAATTTTAAACTGCACTGTTTTCAGTTGATGCTAACAAGCCTTGCTTCAAGCATGTACTCCAACCTCCAAATGCAATGGTTGGTTTGCTTATATAAAGGTGCTCTGTTTATACAGTGTTTACTTTAGCTAGAACCTGGTGTTTAGCTGGTATTGAAGACAGAATTTTGTTGACAGAATGTTTATGTAACCCTGAAATGGTGCACGGTTTCCCAACTAAAACCACATTTACAGCCGGTAAAAAACAGCTCATAAAATCCATCCAGAATGAAATGCGTTCAGTTTCGAGACTTTTGTTGAAGGGTTGTCCAGATTACACAATGTTTAGTCTAGTGCTTTAAAGTAATATGTTCCCGTGAGTCATGTTTGGTACATGTTTGTTAAATGTAAGCAAAACTTACACAGACCAGATAATGACCCTAACCATTTTGAAATCACGGAACCATATAATTGTTTCAACATAAGTTTCATGATGAACACTGTTAGTTGACGAGAAAGGTACTCTCTGCTTTCACCTGCTTTCATGTACGCCAAACACTGATGAATGTTTTCATAATTTATATGTTTTTTCTTTTTCTCAAGTTTTACCTCTCCCCAAACTACTTTAACATTCCCGTGCAAGAAATTTGACAATATTGCTGAGAAAACATTCCAGCTCGGTAATAAAATTATAGAATTTATGTTGCGTAGATAAACAGTTTTCTCAACTTCTTTTTTCTGAACAAGTGACAAATCTGAATTTCAAAGCAATTTTCCAAGTGATTTAATTCATTTTGATTACCGTAAGTTGAATAAGAACACATATGCAAGTTCTAACAATATTTGGATGCTATGTATTTGCCAAGTGAGTTTCTTTATGTCAGAATTCCCATTTGTGAAACGTAAGACGATGTTTTTGTTGCTATGGGTTACTTGTGTGATAAAATCATACATGCGTGATTTCATCAATCACCCTCAAAACTAGGTACGCTGGATGGAATCCTTGCTCTTGGATTTATGGTATTCAAGTCCATACTTGGCACAAATCCCAGGAATCACCAAAATGGTGCTTCAGCATTAATTTCAACTGGAATTGGTCGCAAGACGAGTTATGAGACCTATAGTAAAATGTGTCCATCAGTCTATCTGCCATCACCATTATTTGAACAACAAACTGTTCCCTAGCAACCATCTATTGCCACTGTGTATAACACTGTATAACTGTATGTGATAAACAGTGTTATGGTCATAGTTACTGTGATGGGTCAGTTGGGTGTTTTTAGTACATATTCACAACTATGTAGCTATTGTTCAGTTTTATCGCACTGTTGTCCTTTATCGGTACTGTTGTCCTTTAACATACGGACACTTTCTATACCTGGTCTTTCATTTGTTTGGGTTCTTTTCTCAGCTGAGTATTCTGAATATTTTTTCACTCCTGATCATAACTGAGATTTCAATTAATTATAAAGTCATAGACAGAAAACAAAGAAAAACTTTTGAAATTTGATCATTTATATTTCAAACAGAGCTTTTGCATGTGACAGATCTATTAAGAACGTAAAAACCTTTTGACTCTAGTGAAAAAAGTGTGAAAAGGAAATGAAAGAGTAAATATGGCAAGTCAATCTGTTTGGCTATATGCGTTGATTGTGTTGGTACAATTTTACATATACTATCTCTTTAGAGTGTTGTTTTCACCATTGCAATATAAGGATAACAAAGAATGTTAAACATACTTGTCAAGTTTTGAAAGAGAGTTCTAGTTTCATTAAATACAGACTGATTAATCATACTTTAAAAGAAGGCTGACATATATTCCAATAAAATTATCTTTTTCACATGCAAGAAAAAATATAGTTATCTACGAAACAAATCCAAATGGGGCCCCAAACAGTCCTTAATTTCTAGAACTGATGAAGGAGTAAGGATATACTCTGAAACCTTGTGTTCCTCATAATAAAGAAGTTGACATCCATAAAATTATCTTCCTTCTAGAACTGAGGCAAATCATTCTTGAAATGAATGACAGTCCTGTGTTGTACAATGCAATGTGTCAACCAAGTCAGCAAGTCTGACCACCCAATCCCGTTAGTCACCTCTCACGACAAGCATGGGTAAATGAAGACCAATTCTAACCAGATCTTCATGGGTCAAGTGACCTCATACAATATGCAACATCAGCGCAGAGTATCACTGTCCAATATCAAGCTGATTACATCCTTGCTGAGATAAAATGATAAAATGTAAGATTTGCCTATATTATCTTCCTTGGATCGCACCTGACAATCAGTCTTTGTTCACCTTAACACCCATACAAGAACACCAATAACGCTTGCAATATGTCAAGAACTACACGTGTTCCATATCATCACACAAGAAATAGGATCAAGAAATATGTA